TTACTTAAAGTTGTCGATACTTAGCTTTAGTTTATCTTATAACTAACATGTTAGGGACGGTTAAATAAATATTATTTTAATATAAAATTGTATTATATTTTATTTGATTTAAAATTTTTAATGTTAGTTGAATTTAGTCTTAACTAAAAGTTAGGGTTACTTCTAAAGTTGATTTAAAAATAAAATCTTTAGTATGATGAAGTATTGATGAATGTTGGATTTTTTAAAAATAAAACATATAAAAAATAAAATATAACTAGGTGGTCATTCAAAAAAATTTAAAAAATGATAAGAAATCTCCAAATATCCGAACCGAACCAAACCGAACTGAACCGTTCCGATAGTCCCGAAAACCGAACCGAACCGAACCGAAAAATAAAAATCTCCGAACCGGACCGAACCGATTTTTTGGTACGGTTCTGGAGATTGAATTTTAGTGATCTCCGAACTTCGGTACGGTTCGGAGATATCTCCGAACCGTACCGACCCATGCTCACCCCTAGTTAAAACAACGGTTTCTCTAAAGATAAGTAAAAATTTTCACGGTAGCACCCCAAATCAGTTTCGCAAAGTAAAAATGTTTTAGTTTCATAGACTTTGCGAATAAATGCGCTACTCTGATTTATCTAGTAAGGCGGGGTGTTACATATGCACATTATATGAACAATTTATGGGCAGGTTATGTACAATACATGTAAATTTGAAGTCATTTAGAATTGTTTTTATAGACAGTTTAATGGCCACTATCTTTGATGTTTATATATTGTTTCTGTTCAGTTAAAGTACAACTTTGAACCCACTGTTTATGGCTTGTTTGAATACAATGTGTATATGTAGCATATGAACATTATATGAACACATTATATTGACATTTTATATAGTCAGTGTATCTTGTCGATGGATGAACTATTAAACGTATTTGAGCAGTATATCTTTCCAGTATTTGAGACATCATACTATTTAATATAAATTAACATATTTTTTTATTGCTTGTTTATGTGACGTATATTACCATTTATAATGAATTCAACAGGTACATTCGTTATGGTGTGAGAACAAAAGTTCTGAACCCCCCGTTTGATTTTAATGTTGCCGTTATATGTGATAAAAATTGGTTTTGCACCCTTTACGAGTCAGGGTGCTTCCTTGATAGCAGCGTAAGTGTTAACAAATTAATGTTCTTTCATTTCTAGCGTTTCGGTTGTTGATTCTTTCATATGTATATACATAATTATCTATATATTAGTATTATTCTTTTGGTTTTGAAATATTTTTCCATTGACAGCACATGGATGTCTTGTTCTACTACCTACGGAAGATTGGTGTGCATGGTACTAGTGCTGAGGTTAGGTATACGACGACTGATGTGATGTTTGACCAACACATTAAGTCGTTATATGCTATATACCTGTCACAGTCTTGCAATACTGCTCTATGCAGTGTTCATGATATTGTCACTGACTACATTTTGGGTTATAGACTTATATGCGGAAAGTCATGGTTTGATGTTGATCATATCTTGTTTCCAATGCACGTACAAGTCAATGGTATTGGTCACTGGATACTGGGTATATTGACGTTCAACAATATGAAGTTTTGGGTTTATAACTCGTACCGGTCAGTTGAAGTTGATGAGATTGTTCTAGAAAGTGTGCAGGCATATGTTAGATTGCTTCCAATTTTTCTTGCCCTGGTGAAATTTTATGAAAAAAGGATTGATGTCAATACTAATGCTGGTGGTCGCATACCAACAGACGTTAACAGTCCATTTGAGGTTTTGATGGCTGCCAACATCCCACAGCAAATGGAGAGGTGAGTAGACTCAACCAGAAAATATAAATTAAAAAATATAGCGACCTTTTTGTTAAATTTTCGGATTGTAATATGTACTATTATATCTATTAAATGTAGCGATTGTGGTATTTTCATTGCATCTTACGCTGAGCACTTCATAACCGATGTTGACATTACTACGAAGAAGTTCAATGTTGATATCGAGCGACAAAGGTATACCTACTTGTTGTACACACACGGTACAACAAAGCAGAGCAATGGTTATCAAAGTGATGATGACCCTCCCGGATCAATGCCCGATGATGTCCGTTTTAGTCTATTAGCTTGACCATTGTATGGTATTTCTATTTTTTTTTTTTTGGAGCATTGGCAGACTCATTATATCTTTCAAGGTTGTTTTCGACTGTTAGCTTGACTCACCTTGTTGG